AGTGATACGTACACATTTGATTTTCTTTACTACATGTAAAAATATTAATATAGGTTTAGCTATAGGCAGAAATGCCTTTAACACCGTTGGATTCTCAAGTTATTCTCAAGGTATACTGTATTACGTTACTTTGTATTTCATAGAGATTGCAAGTGGTAGGTAATTAAGCATCTGCTTGTGTACATGTGTTTACTGAATAAACTGTTATTCCATTTACTGCATGCATTCATTTTATTCATTCGTTCATTCATAACTGAAAAACAAAAGTGACAACCAGCATGTCGGCAAAACGTACTGCACCTGCGCAGAACCCTGGATTTTTGTGTTTTTCATTGGATTTTTGGTCAACGTTGCATTAGAATTTTGACTTTTGCAGAAGATATCTTTTCCGACACACCATTTGGAAACTATTGTTGAAATGCTAACCTTATATGAGCGAATACAACGGTTACCTTATATGAGACATTCTGCCAAAGTGCTATGTACAATACATTACGGGTTTCGCGCAGGTGCAGTACGTTCTGCCGACGTGCTGTGACAACCGCACCTCAAACTCTGAGTGGTTCCATGAGATGGTGTGTGTGGAGCCCAACTCCTTGTCCACATTGAAGGCTCGGATTTCAGCTTCCAGGTTATCTCTGAGCTCTTCTCTGGTCTGTGGGGGGGGGGAGAGTTTTTCAATGAAACTACATTTGCAAATACTGATCTGAGCTCTTCTCTGGTCTGTGGGGGGGGGGAGTTTTTCAATGAAACGACATTTTGTAAATACTGATCTGTTTACTCTTCCTCAAACACATATATGATTTATTATATATTGTGGAGACCAGTCCCTCCAACTTTGTCCTGCAACTTCCAAAATAAAGTACAATAAAGGTCATGTAACCCAACACCACAGGGTGTCTAGTACAGCAGCAGTTACCATGGTGACAGACGTCTGGTCTATGCTTAGTTTATTCTAGTGATTTAGTCTGTAACCAATAGGTAAATTACCAATCAGATAATCTTTATTGTCATACATGTACTTCTGAAAGTTTTTTGGCAACTACATGTAACGGAGAAGGCTAGCAAAAACAAATACAAAACAACAACCGTCTTAGTTTCACCACAGTTTGTCAAGTGAAGAAAAAAAACCTTAAGTCCAAGGCTTACCTTGTAGTTCCACAATAGGTTGGATCTTGAATGGTCTCTGTTGAACCTAAAAAGTGTGCAAACATAATGTTATAACACAAAATGTATGACTTGTTAAAAAAGCAAACCAGTATTAAAAACTGTATTGACCACCATGAAAACTGTATAACAACAAATAAAGAGTATAACTTTACTGCCATCCAAAATGTAATGTAGAGGTACTAAGTACTAGTAAATTTTGGATTTCTGCACATAAGACAGACTCACTGGTAGTAGAACAGCAGCCAGTTGGCTTCACTCTTGATTCGTTGTCTCCGTTTCCGTAAGACAATAGGTTTCTGGTTGGCCTGGAGAAACATTTGTAACCATCACTGTCTATTATCATTTCAAACAGTGAAGTTAGATCAAGGGCAAATTTACTAAGAAAAGTACATGCAGACTGCCAAGGATGGTTGTAATATTGATGTTGTTGTTGTATAATTAAGATTTAGTTCAATAATCTTGAAAACATATATGGGCAGTCGCTTCAGCCATTTCAAAGGGCTGATTTCCAAGGGAACACAAAAACATTTTGGGCAAATTTAAACTTACATCGACCAGAATTTTGCCATTTGGCATGACTTGTACAATGTACAGTGTAATGAAATTCTACGTGACTGTGCAAAAATTTGACAATACAAAATAAAAAACTCTAAACCTAGAAAGAATCTGAAAAAATTCTGGAAAAAACAGAAGATTGCAGGTGAATATTGTGAGCCCTGTACACGATGCCATGCACAACAGAAGTTAAAGAAATCTTGAGGTTAGTACAGTGAGATATTCCTAGCTCAACCAAGTGTCTCATGCAGGGATAGTCTGAACAAGGAGGCTAAACAGAAGAACCTTCCTGGTCAGAAGGAAGACGTCCATGCAGAAAGAAGGAGAAGGTTTGATAAGAAAAACTAGGCTTAAATCTGAACTCACCGCATCTCGAGGGTCCTGTGTGGAGAAGGAAAGCGGCATCAATCAACAGGTAATCATGGTACAGATACAGGTACATGTCATGTGTTGATTCATTGATTATGGTTTGAGCAAAGTATGCAAAAAAAGACATGAGAAGTTTACATGGACTTCAGGCTAGGCAGGCTTGGAGCTTAAACTGACCCTTGTCCTTTGATGTCCAGTTTTGATGCAGCCCTTCCTACCTATCTTTCCTAAAAAAACTAATCCTGACCCTTGTTCTTTTACCTTTTGTCACTAAAATAAGACACCTGCCCCTTCGCCTCTCACCTCCATAACCCCTGGACTAACTGACCACTGCCCCTTGACTTCTCACCTATCAGTATCACTCAAAACTCTCTAACATCTGCACTGACCCCTGCCCCTTGATCTTTCACCTGTTGTCACTAAAGCCTAATTCACAGAGTAGGTTAGCCTAGACCCTGGCCCCTGACCTCTCACCTACATGTAAAGTAACTCCCCTGCCCCTTGACCTCTCACCTACATGTAAAGCAGCCCCCCTGCCCCTTG